GTGTTATTATTGTGTGGCCACATGTTGTTATTGTGTGGCCATGTGTTTGTATTGTGTGGCAATGCATTATTATTGTGTGGCCACATGGTATTATTGTGCGATCATGTGTTATTATTGTGTGGCCATGTGTTATTATTGTGTGGCCACATGTTATTATTGTGTGGCCATGCAATATTATTGTGTGGTCACATGTTATTATTGTGTGGCCATGCAATATTATTGTGTGGCCACATGTTATTATTGTGTGGCCATCTGTTATTACTGTGTGGCCATGTGTTATTATTGTGCGGTCATGTGTTATTATTGTGTGGCCATGTGATATTATTGTGTGGCCACATGTTATTATTGTGTGGCCATGCAATATTATTGTGTTGCCACATGTTATTATTGTGTGGCCATCTGTTATTACTGTGTGGCCATGTGTTATTATTGTGTGGCCACGTGTTATTATTGTGTGGCCTTTTGTTATACTGTGTGGCCACATGTTGTAATTGTGGGGCCACACATTATTATTGCGTGGCCACATGTTATTATTGTGTGACCAGGCATTATTATCGCATGGCAACATTTTTTTATCCAGTGTCCCCAGACAAGCACCGTATAATCTAGTTTAACTACACAGTCAAATTTTTGTTGAACCTCATGTTTGCTTTTCTCACCACACAGACAAACAGTCAGAGTTCTCTGAAAAGCTTTTTCATTAGAACTCAAAGTTACATAAAAAAGTTTGTCTGTATTCGTATCATTATTAATCAGCCTGATTGCCCAACTATTTGCAAAACAAACTCAAAACTTATATTAATATCATCTATTTGTTTTAATGCATTTACTAACCCGTCAACAGGAACTTTAATTTATATTTAATGTAATAAAAATAAGGTTTTTCTTTGATGAACAAAGAATGATTAAAGGCAGTTTTAAATGCATTTTTCCCCCAGCAAATTTAAGTTAAAGCTCAAATCTTATCCATAAATTTGTGAAGATGTTACATTTGTTAGCATACTAATTACCATCACTGCTGTTTGTTCTCTGAATATCTAGCCCTAAATGTCTACTTATTTCTTCTTTTTCGTCTAATGACGACCTGAAACCAACTCAGATGGTTTTGCATGAGTTTAAATAAATGTATATTTTAGAATTTAGTTCTGTTATTTTTGTCACTAAACTCTTTAGTTTGCTTAAGATAAAAACGTAGTTTTACCCAAGCATAGTCACAAATGCCACCTCCATGGCAGATGGAGAATAYGCTCGGTGGTGATTYAACCTTTGAMCTTTAGCCACCATTACCTGAYGTGGGGGTCAGTGGCGCTCCTGGGAGGCCATTGATGGTGGCCATGTGCTGCATCTGGGCTGCAGCGAAAGCTGCCATGGGACTGAGGTAGCCTCCTTGGCCCACGGACGCCATCAGCGCTGCCTGCTGCTGCACCTGCAGACGGAGCGGGAGAGCAGATTAGAGGGAGCGCGGAGTAATAAAAGGAAAGCCGTTGTCCGCGAGGTCACTGAGTTGAGGAAGACAGATAAAAGGAGGAAGCAGGGCTATAAAGTGAAATGAGGTACAGCTCAGAGACAAGAAATAGAGGCTATTAGATAGAAACCAGGAATGGACTCTTAGAAAATGTGTATTTGTCTAGTTTTTTTTAGAGTAACTTAAAAGAAATTGACCTCCTCTTCTTTTGTTGCCTGTATAAATTTATATACTGTATGAGCGAGTGTGTGTGTGTGTATATATAAATATATATAAACCTATATATAATATGTGTGAAAACAAAACAAAAAATTGTGACTCTTGCCTGAGCRTAGGCCCCGTAGGCTCCAAACTGCAGGGCCATAGGGTTGAAGATGCCCATCTGACCAGCCATCTGCTGCATGCGGCGGATGGTGCGCTCCTTATCCGTGTCAGCGAACTTTACCACCAGACTGGACGAGGCACCCTGTTCACACACCCACACCCACACCCACACACACACGCCCAGCGGTACATGTCAGTGTGCTTCAATAGACGCATGGACACTAGCTTGTATCACACGTTCCCTTTTAGATTTCCTGCCAAGGCAACAACCTCGGAGCTACAGTCGGTGCTCATTCCTCTGACATTTTTTTTTAAAGATGGGTCATGTCTAAAGGAGAAATTTTCTTGACTGCGAATAATAAAGTCTAACTTAGCTTTAAGAAGCCAATTAAATGCTGTTTGACTCATCTCTCCGTGTGACTCACCTCCCTCTCGCACCTACTTTCTCTTTCACAGTTAACGGCATACTCACAGGCATTGTCTGGCTGCCGTGTAGTGCACTGATGGCTGCCTGAGCTTCAGCATGAGAGGAGTATTTTACAAACGCGCAGCCTGCGGAAAATGAGACAGAGACGCGAAACAATGAGCCGGTTATAAATGCAGGGCAACTTCTTTTTTTTTAAATTAAAAAAAAAAAGAAAAAAAAAGGAACAAAGTTTCCCTTGAGATCACTAACACTTTGTACAGACAGCTTTCTCTGATCTGGACACTTGTATTGGATGTCAATAAGCGGGCTAAAAAAGCCACTCTGACCCCATTAACAGCTCAGACATCTTCTGATGGGGCTGAAAATGCCAAAGCAGTTTGGTGTCACTTACTATTGACAAGTGTCGTAGATGAATTTGGATGATCAAGTTGCCAGTAATTATTGAGCCCACTTAGCTGAGTAAGTTGGCTGATGAAGCTTTGTTAATGGAGCTTCACGGAGGAATCAAAATGATCAAGCACACTGTAATCATCGGGCTTAGTTATCATCGGGCCTCATTGATTGGCTGCTAAGCCCTCTGATGAACTTCGCGGGGTGAACTTGTGCAGCACCCTGACAGCAGTTTGAAGAGATTGCTTTTTTCTGCTGAAAAACGAGGTGATATTTTCTTTCTTTTTAATAAGGCGATTTGGTTTTTCCTCTTTTGTCAGAACTCAGAAGCTGACTAAAGAGGTTAATGGGGTTCACTTTATAAGCTCTGTTAAATTTCACAGAGACAACTGTAGTTTGTTTCTCTGTTGCTTTGGCGTCACTTAACATGGAAGGTTAGAAAAAAAGAAAGTCGTCAACTTTGAAAGGCTCAATAACATCTGCTCAGCATCCCAGCAGCTGCGGTCTCACCTTTGCTGTTCCCGTCGGGCCCTCTGAGGATGGTGCATTCCTCGATGCTGCCAAAGGACTCAAAAAGGCGCCGCACGTCGTCTTCTGACTGCTGCTTGTTGAGCATGCCCACAAAGAGCTTTCTGTCTTCTAGAAGAAGAAGGAGGTCATGATGAGGGGCTCACAGATGCCTTCAGATGGAAGTATATTTACTCAGATTCAAGAATACATGCAAAACCAATCAGAGAGATTTAGTTATGATCTAGAATGGATCAGCTTTTGTACTGGAAGTAATTAAAAAAATTCTGTTTAAAGGAGACTTATCCTGCTTTTACATCCTTTTTTATCACATTTAAATCATTCAGATGGGGTGTATGTAAAGTGAAACTCCAAATTTTAATCACTGTGAGTCATTCCTTCATGACAGAAGATGTTGCAATTAAAGAAATTGTTTTGGTGTTTACAAGTGGGTTTCTGCAGAGCAGTTCTGTGTGATCAGTATCTTACATGCAGTAGATAGAAAACAAAATGATTTTATTTCAGATTATCATTGAGAAATTCTCAAGTATGAATGAGGCTAACAGCCAGTCAAGCCCAGGGTTTACTTCAGGGTGGATTTTGACCATCAAAAACAATTCAAACCTCAGATTTTTCACAGCCGTATAAGGGATTGGTTTGTTACAGGTTTTTACACTACATTATTTCTACATCAAATTAATACTAGGAGTGTGACAGTGCACAAAAGTTACAGTTCAAAACAAACCTTATTTTTTTAGTCATGACGCAGTACATTTTTAGTATTATGTTAATGGAAACAAACAAATGTATATATCAAAATATAAAGGTTTATACAGCAGATGTTTTGGATATTGTGGACAGCTGTAGTTTGTATTTGATTATATAAAGGTGGTATAAATGGTTTACATGCTGATGAGAAGGAACTGTGACATGGTTCTATTCGTAGATCACATGATAATATATTAAATACAGAGTGAGGTTATATTACCAATTTTGGAGAGTTATGGTTATACATCTGCTGCTATAAAAACTGTGGTGTTTGTTGTGATTTTGACCTGGTCTGAATTGTTAGCTAGTCTAAACGCTACAGGCAGCTGGGATTTCACTTTTTGTTTTCTCTTTGTGCCACTTATGTTTACATCCAAGTGATGCTTTTCCAAGTGAGTAATTATGTTTAATGAGGAGCCAGCTACATATCAAACTGCTGTTGAACAATGTCGACATAAAGGTCACCCCACCATTCCACCCCCCGCTGCCTTTGACTAAGAAGCCGTAATGTTCCTGAACAACAGACTTTATTAATGGTGGGGAGTCTTCAAGCTCTGGTCTACCTGTGTTCTTCATGCTCATTAGTTGTGATGTCTCTTCGTGTGCTACGTTTTAAAAGTCAAGAGGCGAGACGCGAAGTTAGGCAAATAAACACTGTATGTGTTTAAAACAATGCATTCATTCGTCATTACAGACATCTATGAAAAGAACCACATGCAAAAACGAAGGGGTGTAAACGTTTACAATGCGCATGTTTAATCTTCCAGCATCAATATAGTAAATTAATCATTGTCTTAAAATTASTGTATGCTACTTTAAACCAGCATTGACCATAAACTACATCTCTCACYATGCTTGTTGTAATGACAGCATCACACCACTAGGTGGAGGTGCAAAAGGTTCTAAAGTAGCAGTAGTAGTGGGTAGTAGTGAATTTGCCGTGTAAAAATCTCATTTTTGTTGCATTTTTTCCAGCTACGTTTGGCCCAGCTGTGCTGGGAAGTGGTAATTTCCTACTTACAAGTTGTAAATTTAAACTGGAATGTCCCTCAAGTGGGAATTCTTTGTCAGAAAGTGGGAGAGTTCAGAATTCAAGATGACCACAACTCAACAGTAAGTAAAAATCTTTAACTTTTAATAGTATTTTTGTATTATTTATTTCACATTCAGTTGATTTTTGTATGTAGTATATTTCTCTGTTTATAAGAGGATTTGTTTAAACACAGTTTCTTTGCACAAAATACCACATAGCTCAGTTATTGTTTGTTAGCGGTGCTCAGCCATAGCAAGGAGATGAACCGTGACATTTGTGTTTATTCTAAGTTAAACATGAAATGTTGAAAGTAATTATGTATGGCCCTTTGAGGGCCATCATAATGCTCATGTGGCCAGGAATAAGAATGAAATCTTTTAGGTTATGTCGATTTAAATGGCTAAAATCTGCTCTATAATTGGCCTCGGTTTTGCCACCAGTTAACTTGACTCCTGCATGAGGATTTCTCACTGCAGGTGAAATAACAGAAACCCACTTAATGACACAATTTCTTTTATAATTCACTTATATTCACTTTAAGTTGCCAAACTGTTTTAGATCTAATTGTACAGCATCTCTGTGCTTAAAGAGGCCGGTTTGATTGGCTTCAAAGTAAAGTAATGCTGCTGTTATTCAACCACTTCTGGACTTCTCTTTTAGCATTTTGCTTTTTATGTACTGGACTGGTTACCTGTAATAATGCCCTGACAAAAACAGACTGCATATTCTCTCTCTTTTCATTTCAAGCTGTGCTTAAAGTCCACAAATTTCTCTTTTCTTATTGTGAAAGATATTGGGTTCTGGTTAGATAAAATCCTGCTGCTGGTTCCACAACAAATCACATTACTACAACAATAATATATCCACCAAATAAAAATAAAAAAGGAATAAAATACTCTGCTGAAAGGTAGAGGTGTTTGTTGGACAGACATTGTTCCAGGCCAGCATCTGGAAATAATCTGGTTTAAATCTTCTGTTTAAACATTAAGAAAACAACATGTTGRAGATTTTATCTTGCATATGACATCCAAGTAAAAGACACAGCAGAGGGTTTCTTTGCCAGACACACACAGGAAACACTGTGTGATAGAAACTGAAAATGGTATCTGTGACAATTCATGTGTCTAACTTTTCACACCAATCTGACATTTTTTTCCCCCCTTAGAATCAGAAGAACAGACTTCCCATAGATGAGAAATTGTCCCTGTCAGCCAGGAGACAAGACTGATGCGTTGGTGTGCTTGTCCTCAGGTCACAGTCAAGTCTGGGTAAAATTTCATTTCCAAAAGTTTTTTTTTCTTCCACTGGATCCTCTTTGGCACAAAAATCCTTCATATTTACCAGCATTAATATGTACATAAAAAGCAGCAAGTTAAAAAAGAAAGAAGACTTATGTTTTATGTAGCAGTACATAAAAAAACATATTAAAGCAACTAACAATTATAAATAAAAGGATGGCTGATTATTTTATGTAATTTCTGGTAAAAACATAGAAAAACTACAAATTTTGCTATCCTGCAAGATTTGTTTGTATATAAACGCATCTCTTTGAACAAAACAAACTTTTCTAGCGTAAAAATAACAAAAAAAACGTAATATTTTTCTGGTTATTTTTTTGACAAATATACTGTTCTTTGTGTCTTAAATAGAGTAGCAGAATGATAGAATTGAACATAATACACCTCTAATAAAATATGGGGGGTAAAGTTCAGCTCCTGGTCAGCAGACTCACTGAATCAGAGGAATCGTAGGAATAGGTGTAGAAATCCACGGCTGCCTCCTTTTCTTACGTTACATAAAGTCTGAGATTTGTGGAAATGGATGTATACATTTGGAAATTAATGAGCCTCAGAGCAATTCCCTGTAAATGTGCTCTGCAAATTAATGTATGTGTGTAGATGTGTGAGTGTTTTAGTGTTCGTGTGTGTGTGCGTTGAGAGTCTGTTCCCCACCGCCTGTGCTTAACAGGGTGTCCTTGCCGAGTCAACAAGACTAATCGGCGCTCTGGCCTTGCACTGGGATGGGGGGTAGTGGGTTTGGTGTGACGAGTGTTTACAGGAGTGCAGAAAACACCGGTGTTGGAGGACACACACACACATGCAAAAACACGTGCACACAAATCTTAAAATGTTTGCATCCTCAACATCTTCTTTGACGCGAACACGTTTACACACCTCAGCGGGGGGCAACGCTTACTGCTCCTCTGGATATGTGTTGATATCATAAAGCTTGTTCACACACACACACACACACACACACACACAC